TACATTAGCAGCTGCAACTTTTTTTTTTTTTTAGAAATTTGTATTAATTTTTCAATTAAAAACAATAACATAAATATGATGCATTTAGTCACAATATCAACCAAAAAAAATAACACTACTTTCACGGAAGTGTCCGGTGTCCCCCCCCTGCACCCCACTCTTTCACTTTCCACACCTTCCTCCCCACGGACCTACAACAGCTGCAACTTTTAATTACTTCTAATAACGTTATCTTCTTCTAGACAAAATACTAAGCATCTATTACTGTAGTTTCAGATCTCTTGTATAACAATCAGTGTAAGAACTGAAGGTAAATTCTACAGAAAGTAGAATTTCAGGTAAATTCTACAGAAGCAGCCAAGGACAATAATTTATCACAGTGCAAGATTTTGTAACAACTGTTCGGAGTTCATAAACAACTCCTGTTTATATCTCCTATTCATTTTTATAGGATAACCTCTACTTTAGTGACACTTTCTACATGTTCAAAAGTGTATTGCAATAATTTTAGATAATATTGGATAGAGGAAAGAAAGATACACTTCTTTCTCACTAGTGCTTATTTTTTTTCAAACAGTGCAAATAGGTTCTCCAGCATTAATTTGCACCAAAAATCTTTCCACTGAATGAAATTCCACTCTTTAAAAGAATAAGGAAAACGTAAAAAGGAAAAGGCAGAAACACTATGCCAGTCAGTTATTACAGCAATAAGGTGAGGAATTTGCTTCAGTTGGGAGGGAGGGAGGGAGAGAGGGGGGAGGGAGAGTGAGAGGGAGGGAGGGAGGGAGAGAGAGAGAGAGAGAGAGAGAGAGAGAGAGAGACTGAAAATATACATTCCATGATGTGAGATGGGCCTTCCATGATGATTTTAATGTCTTCTTTCACAAACTTTCAAACATTTTAAAATCAAAATCCTGTGCAACTGGAAACCAAAGCAGAAATCAGTATGGAACCTTCTAGTTCCACAATAGATAAGCAACTTGAAGCCAACTATACAGAAAAACAAAACCCACACAGAAAATCATAAAACAAAGTTCAGAGATCTTTGATCAAGTTAAACAACTCTTAATAACATAAATATTCACAACTCCCACAATATTCAGTTAGTAAGGATAGCTGAGAATTGAAATTAAAATGTCTCCGGGTTACCAGGTTGCCTATCAAACAAGATTTTCCATGTCTATGGGTACCATTCTATATATATAGCAATCTTGCTAAAATGAAGCATTGAGTGTCTAGATCAGGGGTAGGCAACCTCGGCTCTTTTATGACTCATGGACTTCAACTCCCAGAATTCCTGAGCCAGCTATGCTCAGGAATTCTGGGAGTTGAAGTCCATGAGTCATAAAAGAGCCAAGGTTGCCTACCCCTGTTCTAGATGAAAGGGGGCGTTGTCTTACCTGAACGCCTTTTCTCAGCACGGAGATGGAGACTCCACCATTGGGTAGTAGACTGTATTCCTGCCCAATCAGATCAGGTCAGCCAAAGTTGCCACGCCCGTCCTGGACCGTGATCTCCAGTCTTTGACGCGAGCGTAGCCATTGACTGACAGCAAGACGTTGTGGCTCACCAAACTAACTGACCCTATGCTTATATAAAAATACAAGGGAGGGAGGTGGAGTCTCCATCTCCGTGCTGAGAAAAGGCGTTCAGGTAAGACAACGCCCCTTCTCCAGNCTGAGGGTGGGTAGTAGACTGGTCCCGAGTGGCACTTTGGTGTAAAACCTGTTGGAGAACTCTCCTTCCGAATGAAGCCTCAGCCGAGGCAAACTTATCAATTTTATAGTGCCTAACGAAAGGAGAAGGCGAAGCCCAAGTGGCTGCCTTGCAGACTTCCTCGATGGAAGCTTGAGTGGCCCAAGCCGCCGAAGTAGCCGCGCTCCGTGTGGAGTGGGCTGTCACACCCCGCGGAACCGGCAACGACTCAGCTTTGTAAGCTCCGGCGATGCATGCCTTTATCCATCTTCCAACGGTGGAAGAGGACACTTTCCGACCTTTGGTGGAAGCGTGGAAAGATACAAAGAGGGCTTCCGATTTCCTGAACTCCGCAGTCCGTGAAATATAATGTTTAAGGGCCCTGCGGACATCCAGACAATGCCATTGCCGCTCCAATCCATGCGACGGGTTGGGGCAGAAATCAGGCAGCACTATCTCCTGTGACCTATGGAATAGGGAATTAACCTTTGGCACGAAGGTGGGGTCCAACCGAAGGATAACCCTATCCTGTTGGAAAACACATAGGTCATCTCTCACTGAAAGCGCCGCCAGCTCCGAAATGCGACGAGCAGAGGTGATAGCCACCAGGAAAGCCACTTTGTGGGACAGAGAACGAATGTCACATGTCCTGAGGGGCTCAAAAGGAGATTTAGTAATAGCCCGAAGCACCCTTGACAACTCCCACGAGGGGTATCTATGTACCACAGGAGGATTTTGGTTGGAGGCTCCCTTAAGGAATGACCTTACCAGAGGATGATGACCCAGTGATTCAGCAGAGTCGCATGAGAGGATTGTAGACAAAGCCGCGACTTGCCTGCGAAGGGTATTAGGGGCTAAACCTTTTCCTAGACCCTCCAATAAATAATCCAAAATAATTGGTACAGTGAGTGTCGAAAGTGACAACTGCCTCCCAGAACACCATGATTGGAAATTTTTCCATGTGGCCTCTGTACCTGCCTAGAGCCAAAACTTGCAACGTCTGTCCTGGGCAAGATCAAGTCAAAGACTGGAGATCACGGTCCAGGACGGGCGTGGCAACTTTGGCTGACCTGATCTGATTGGGCAGGAATACAGTCTACTACCCAATGGTGGAGTCTCCATCTCAGTGCTGGAGAAGCTACCTGGGAACTCCAAAAACATTATCTTAGCATTGTTGATAAATGAAATAATGCAATCCATAATGGTGACTGAAAAATATTTGGTTAACAAAAGTCTAACATTTCATTTTCATTCACTAAACTATAATTGACACTCATAAATATGCACAAATATTACAAAAGAATAACCTACAATTGATTAGTAAAGGGACGGCTTCTTAATCAAAGAGCTGCTTTACTTTGTGCATACACTATTTTGGAAACAATGAGTTTGCTAAGAAAAAAGTGTGTTTAAAGATATTTTCACTGTGCAAAAGAGTGGGATAGCTGAGCCAATAGGGAAGAACAGCCAATCAAAAGAGGACAATGCAGGACACCTCCTCCTAGATTATATTCCAGGAAAAGGAGGTTGGAAGTGGATTTTGGAGGTGGATTAATCTCAAAGAAGCCCAGATCCCAAACCTCAGAATGCATACTACAGTCAGGAAGATAGAATAATTTTATTATCAGTGTAGGCTAGTATTGATAGGCTAGTAAGGTATTTTCTAGAAGTCAACCCATTTTAAATTATTTCATATAAATGAACTTGTCTCTTGTTTCTATGTTAACAAAGTGCTTGTTCCAACCTATACCTTGTTCCATATTCTACCTAGTATTGTTATTTTAGATATTTTGAAAATTAGAAAGGAGATTTAATGATGTCAGCAGAACAAATAGATAACTGGGGGGGGGGGGAGAGACAAGGGTATGCAACTACAAGATGAGATGCGTGTAAATCCACAAATCCAAAATATTTTCTGAACATAAAGATCCTTATCAAAAAGTCTCAAAGCATCTTCCTAATGTTTCAGCCTACAAGCCTAAATTAAGCATTTTATCCTACTTTTATTATGGGTTGCCAGGCTTCTGACAGAACACAAATGTAAGGAGCTTAGAATAGAAGAAGCCGTTCCTATTTTTGCATAGTATCATACATAAAAATAAAAGATCCATTAAAAGAATGGCTAAAAAAAAATCCATAAAACAGAAAAAACAGAATCTATATAGACTGATACAAAATGCATTGCAACTGTGTATTAATACTACTTACAAGTAATGATATACAGCCATTTATAGAAATGCTATGTAGCTACTAAATGTTAATATCCCTCCTTGTATTCTAAAAATTGCCATGTGGTATAATCTGAAGTGGTAAAAATGATTCAACCATAATGACAGCAATTTTCTATTTTGATAAGAAACTTAAAAATGTGTTCATGCCAGATTAAATACAGCAGCTACAATCATTCTATAAAATTTGATCTGCCTAATCACTAACTGATATTTACACACACACACACACACTCACATGAATGTAGTATGTGTGTGTGAGAGAGAGCCCTGGGCCCTACAAGGGAAGGATGTTAGAAAAATAGTTTTAGAGCTGTTCTAAGGAATTTTCTATGCATCTGGAGAATAAAATTGCTCTAATCTACTCAGAAATAGACATTATCTAAGCAAGTCCTAACATAGTAACAAAAAATACTTTTTGAAAGGTTATCTGGGATAACCTTTGAGTCCTAAGTAAGTAGACATGTTCTCTCTAATATAAACTCTGCAATCAATGGTTTGGATGTTGGTTCTTCCTAGTTGATAAAATATCTCTAGTGAGGTAACTGAATAACTGGTCCAGGGTGATAGTGAATTCATCCTTGGAAAAACAGATGCTGCTGCCTGTCTTGAAGGTGATGTTGTGGGTACATTCCTTCCTCAAGGGTCCTTCTCTTACCCCAAAATCCAGAAGAATTATGGATTCATTCAACTTTCTCTTTCTAGGAAAGGCTACTGAGAAGGTGGTGAGACTGCAGTTGCAGAAAAACCTTGAAGAAGCATTACCTGAACCAATGTGATTTGTGTTCAGAAATGAACACAGCACCAAGACTACACTACTTTCCTTAATTAATTTCTGATGAGAGTGGGAAAATGAACATGTGACCTTCCTTGTATTCTTTGATTTCTTAATAACTGTTGATTTCATAAATAGTGGTATCATTTTAGACCATTTCCAAGGATTGGGGGATACTCGAAAGTACTATTTTGTTCCTATGGTACCTACGTCAGAACTATACTAGTCAACTTCATTAAATACATTGTTTACCATCACAAGAAACTTTGCAAAGCTGAGGGAAGGAGAGGTAATCAGCTTACCTCAGTAAGGGCATGCAATTGTCCTTGATGTACACAGACACCCATAAACCTACAAAACAGGAGTAAAATCTTAAATCAGAAACAGTGGATTTTGTAAGGGTTCGTTATTTTTGAATCATTATAGTACATATGCAGTTTTAAAAAAAAATAGAAATATTGGATGACACCAGTTCCAAAACATTACACAACTGTTCTGCAATCAAATATATTACTTTGTATGTAAGACAGTAACACTTTCCTTTTAGTTCAAGCATAAATAATGAACTAGTCTATTTGAGAACAGGAAATAAATTCCAACTGTCTTATACTTAAATCTATGTAGAAGTTTGAGAATGTATGTAATTGTTCACATTTTCATAAAAAGTTTAAAAAGTCTTTTATGAAGAAGTCTTATGACCATTACAACATCCCTGTGGTCATGCGAGCAAAATTCAGATGCTTGTCAACTGACTCATATTTATGATGGTGATAGTGTCCAGGAGTCATGTGATCCCCTTTTGTGACTTTCTGATAAACAAAGTTAATGGGGAAACCAGATTCACTTAACAACTTTGGCAAGAAATGTCATAAAATAGGACAAAACTCACTTAAATGTTTCACTTAGCAGCAGAATGTTTGGGCTAAATTGTGGTCATAAGTGGAGGACTGCCTATGTGATACAAATTTGTTAATAAATTAGAACTGGAATAACAAGTGGATATAGGTTAGTAGACCCATCCCTCATTTTAAGCAGAGTACCAAATGATTCTTTGTTAAACAGTGCTAAACAATTTTAAAGATTTGTAGCCAAAAGAATACATAATTTTACATGCAGTAATAACAAAACATCATAACAAAATTAGAAAAAGCACGACCTACTGTATTTATTGTAAAATGTTACATTAAATGAAAGTATTGGTTTTATATACCATGTTAATTATATAAGTTAAGTATTGGTTTTATATACCATAAGTTAATTGGTTTTATATACCATAAGTTTATATACCATAAGGTATTTATAGGCCTTATTGCATAGGAACATATCTTCCTAGTTGCTCACCAAACCTCCCTTCTCTATTTTATTTTAGGAAGAATTGGAGAAGAGAAATTATTTATTTATTTTCTAAAATCACCTTTTCTGGCTAGAAAGCAGCTGAACTTTGACCTCCATCCACAACACACCTTTGAATCTCACGTGTACATAAGGCATTTCTCAAAGTGAAAGGAATCCAGAACTCAGTTGTTTCCTAACCACTTGCCAAAACTTTAAAAAAAAAAAAACATAAAAGAGGGAGAAGGAGAAGAAAAAGTTCCTGCAGTGAGAAACAAGTGGTGGGAATGGAAAGGTCACAATGAGTGAAACAGAATCATGCATCCCAGGAGCAGAAGGAAGAATAAAGAATGGAATCTGAAACATGATTGTGAACAAGAGCCAACAATGAACAGACTTTGTACTTTATGGTTTAGACCAGGGGTCTCCACCCCCCAGTCCATGGCCTGGTACTAGGCTGCGGTCCATAGGGAACCGGGCCGTGCAAGTGGCAGGCAATCACGTGAAACTATCCCCTCTCCCCCTCCCAATGCCACCGCTACTGCCAGTCCATAGAGTAGGAAAGGTTGGGGACCACTGGTTTAGACATTACTTCCACCATTCAGTTCTTGGGCAATATGTTGCTTTTCTTTTAACATCAGACAAGTACCTTCGTCAAATGTTTCTTTGGTATTTTGCCATTTTAGTAACTGCTATTCCTTATGCTAGCTAGCCATTTTCTAACACAGCCTATACCATTTTCAAAGAATTTTATAAACTGAATTTGAAGATGGAGATCCAGATTAAGTATCATGAAACCTGAAAAATAAAATTCTTGATGGGTTATATCATACGCAAATGAGTTCTTAGTATTTTATATTGCTGTTGGGAAAATAGCTTTAATTATGTCATCTCAGATGACTGCAAATATACATGTATCATTTAGTTCGGGACAATACTAAATTCTGGAACTTTTCATTGAAGAACTGAAAATATATTTCAATACTAAAAGTAGGAAATAATTATGAGAAACTTACAAAGAAAGTGCTATTTTACATTCTCAAATACCATTTTTAATACTAAAAAGTTAGTATTTATGAACATCTGTCTTGAATAGCAATTAACTCTCAGCACTGAGCTGCCTATTAGCAGGAGCGAGTTTATTTATTTACCGGGTTTATAAGGCATTCCAATTAGCCTACAGTTGAGCAGCACACAACTCACCAGTACATAATTGGGATTAAAAACAATACAAATTAAATTTAGAAACAAAATATTATAATAATACACATCTAATAGACACATGCAGAAAAAAACAATTCATCCTCAGGATGGATAGTAATAAGAGAACTGGCCTTCCAGTTAGACAAAATAGCCAGGTTTTCAAAGCTTGAGAGGGAACTATTTGAATGTTGGGGGAGGGGATAATATTCCATAGGAGGGATACTGACAGAGAAGTCACGCTTCTATGATCCATGAAATGGCAGTCTCCAATCAAGGGCATATGAAATAAGTCCCACGGTAGATCTTATAGAGGGCAGAAATACTGGGAGAAAGCAGTCCTAAATATACCAAGACCATGAACTATGGAAGGCTTTTAAAGGTGACAACCAGCATCTTGAATTGCACCTGAAAGTTAAATGGCAGCCAGTGCAGCTCTTGCAGTAGAGATGTCTTGTGGATGGCCATAAAATGCACTCAAAACTAGTCTCGCTACTGTATTCTGAACCTGGTATAATTTCCAAATATTTGTAAGGGCACCCCCATATGGCGTGCATTGTAATAGTCCAATCAAGAGGTAATTCAGGCATGAATGACTATGACTATTTCCTCCCACTCCAGGAAAACCTGCAATTGGTGCACAATATGAAGCTATGCAAAAGCCTTTTTGGCCACAGCTGCCCTTGCTTTTTAAGCAGGAGCTATGAATACAAGAGGATCCCTCCCATCCCCAAAATCAGCTCTATTTGGGAAAGTGCAATCTTTTCCAGACCTAACAATGGAATCCCACTGAAATTATGAGGCCTTCAAACCTCCAACTTCTTCCTGCTGATGGAAATTCTTAACTTGTTCCTCTCCATTCAGTTCCAGACAACCTCCATATATATGGAGAGCACTTTGACAGAATCATCTGGGAGTCAAGTTGGCTATCATGAACATACCAATAAAACCTAGGCTTGTACCAACAGATTTTGCTTTAGTTATGTAAATACTGAATAGAAATAGAACAGTAAGCCCTGTGGCATCCCACAATTGAGAGACACAGGGCTCAGTCTTTTCCCACCACACTAAAATGAAGCTGTCCCTTCAGAAAGGAGAAAACAATGCCCCCCCCCCCGCTCCTAACTTCCACAGATGTCTCAAAAAGATAGCATGATATCAAAAGCCATGAAGGTCATTCTGCCTCTATCTCAGTCTCATCAAAGATGACCTATAACTGTGTAATCCATCCATTTTCTCCGCCACCTTCTCACAAAAATTGTCCAGTATATCCAGACTGAATGATAGTTTCTTGAAGAGGAGAGTTTCAAAGAGGGTAGTAATACCTCCCCTCTCAAAAGATGAATTCACTATTGTGCCAACTTAGCTCCTACTATCTCCCCGTAGGCTTTCACCAATCAGGAAGGGCCAGAGTCCAAACTGCTATTCGCTTCCTCAGGATTCACAAGATCAAACACATCCTCAAATGTATCAAATTAAGAGTCCAGAAAAAATAAGGAAATAAGCAGTCAAATATTTTGAAAATCAGTTTATATCTACGGGTGTGTGTGAAGTAACACTACTACTTCATCTTGCAATTAAAGTTAAGCCTTAAACTGGAAACAAGGACTGGATTAGTGTAGCACATGGATTCTTTGATGAAAATTTTATTTTCAAGTGGTTGTACTTACTGTATTGTGCTATTATAAAGTGGTTAATATAATTATATATTATATTGTATATTCCTTTGACATTTCAAAGGAAATGTCATTAATTATGGAACATAAAGCTAAAACCCCTTTTTTGTTTTTCAAAACTTACTTTCACAACCTCTTTGTAAAAATAGAAAATGCTGACTGAATGTCAAAGTTATGAAATTTTTTATTTTCCTATGTCAGCTTTTCAGAAATAAACGTATTAAGATGCAATGGAAATCCAACTTTATTATAGAAATTAAATCCTCAGAATTTCTTAGTTTAATCTAAACAGAGCATACATGTACTAGTTATTAGATACGACTTCCAACAGTTTCATATAGTTAGGAAAACAATTTTATAGCTAGAAATAATATTTGGAGCTATTGATCTATAATTTCAAATGATACATGAAACTTTATTGAAAGTTTAAATTCTAAATTCTCAGCGTAGTTAACAGAATCTACCAAATGAAATATCTCACTGTTAAAAAATGGTTTCCAAACATAATTCAGTGATAGTTTTAATCTACAAAATTATAAATAATCTCAGATGGCAGTAATTAAAGGATCACTTATTTCGTATGAGTACTTATTTCCTGTTTACTGAGATCTTAATCAAAGTACTACCTCAGTGTTTTAATTTAATTGCAACTTTTTAATCTTTTTGTTGCTAGTCCTCTTTGGGGAAAGAAAAGACTGGCTATCAAAGTGGAAAAGCAAGTTACACATTTGTTTACATGAAGAATTGGAAGAACTGTAGAAATCAAGTTATCAGCACTTCCACAAAAGATTTTTCCTAGCTTGCATAGCGACGGCAAATCAGAGGTGACATAAAATTTTCTTAACCTCCAATTCTTGATCATCACTGGAAGGCTCTGGATTTGCTGGGGGAAGACCTCATAGATTTTTAAAAAAAATAATATTGCATACCTAGGGTTCACTCTGTAGTGCTGATCTGGCACATAATGAAGAGAAGGCTTTTGAAGCCTCTTGATGTGCTAATTAATTTTAAAATGGAATCTTCCCTTATAATCACCTCCATAGAAGTCTGTGAAGCAAAGCATTTTGCATGCCACCAGAAATATAGGCAAATACATATGATGAACACATGGACTAGGCACGTATTGGAAAGGAACACCAGAAA